AACATTGGCCATGTCCTCTCGATGACCTCCTCCTGCAATGACATGATAATCTATATAGAAACCCCAAAAGAGGGGCGCCTGGGTGGCTCAGTTGGTTAAGCGACTGCCTTCGGCTCAGGTCATGATCCTGGAGTCCCTGGATCGAGTCCCGCATCGAGTCCCGCATCGGGCTCCCTGCTCGGCAGGGAGTCTGCTTCTCCCTCTGATCCTCCCCCCTCTCATATGCTCTCTCTCTCTCATTCTCTCTCTCATAAATAAATAAAATCTTTAAAAAAAAAAAAAAGAAACCCCAAAAGAACTGACCAAGAAATTCCTAGAACTAATAAGCAATTGCAGCAAGGTTAAAGGATACATGGCTAATACACAAAACTCTATCAATTCTCTCTATACCAGCAATCAACAAGTGGTATTTGAGATTAAAAACACAGTATCATTTACGTTAACACCCCCCAAAGTGAAATATTTAGCTATAAATCTAATAAAATATGTACAAGATCTATATGAAGAAAACTATAAAACTCTGAACAAAATGAACAAAATCAAGGGAGAACTAAATAAATGGAGAAATATTCCATGTTTGTGGGGAGGGAGACTCAATATTGTCAAAATGTCAGCTCTTCCCAAATTAGTCTATAGATTCAATAAAATACCAATCAAATTATTTTGTGGGTACTGACAAACGGATTCTAAAGTTTATATGGAGAAGTGAAAGACCCAGAATAGTCAACAAAATAATGAAGATGAACCAAGTTGGAGCAATGATGCTACCTAATTTCAAGACTTACTATAAAACTACAATGATCAAGATAATATGGTGTTGGTAAAAGAACAGACAAATAGATCAGTGGAACAGAAAAGAGATCCCAGAAATAGACCCACATAAATATAGCCAACTGATCTTTAACATGGAGGGAGGGCAAGACAATGGAGCGATGATAGTCTCTTCAGCAAATGGTGCTGGAATATTTGGGCATCCACATGCAAAATGATAAGTCTAGGCACAGCCTTTACACCCTTCACAAAAATCAACTCAAACTGGATTTCACAGAGTTAAGTGTAAAACACACAATGAGAAAACTTTAAAAGATAACATAGGAGAAGGGTGCCTGGCTGGCTCAGTTGGTGGAGCATGTGACTCTTGATCTCAGGGTTGTGAGTTCAGGCCCCATATTGGGAGTAGAGATTACTAAAAAAATAAAATAAAATAAAATCTTTTAACAAATAAATAGATAACATAGGAGAAAAGTAGATGACCTTGGGTACTGTGATGAGTTTTTAGATACAATATCAAAACCATGATTGATGAAAGAAATAATTGACAAGCTGGACTTGATTAAAATTTAAAACTTCTGCTCTGTGACACACACTGTCAAGAGAATAAGACAAGCCACAGACTGGAACAAAATATTTGCAAAAGAATATATCTGAAAATATAAAGTACCCAAAATAGTCGAAGAACTCTGAAAGCCCAATAGTAAGAAATAAAAGAACGGGATGAAAAACTGGGCCAAAGATCTTAATAGACACCTCACTAAGGAAGATCTGCAGATGGCAAAAAAGCACATGCAAAGATCCTTCGCATTATATGTCGTCAAAGAAATACGCAAATTAAAACAACAGTGAGATGCTCTGCATGCCTATTAGAATGTCCAAAATCCAGAACGCTGACAGCAGTAAATGCTGGTTCTGAGCTATAGTTCTTTACTAATTAGGGGGCTTGCTTTCAGCCTAGGGGTCAGACAGAGGTGAAAACTTAAGATCTCTTTGTTCTTTTCTGAACATGCATCTTGGTTGGGCCTCATGTTGCTTTTTCAGCTGCTTTTAAATGTCCTGATTTCTCCATGAGTCTTACCCCAAGCCTCTCCTGGGGGCCTCAGATGATCTCTTTATCCTTCCTTTCTTGCCCCAGGTATCAGTGGGACTGTAGTCTACCTCCAATTTTCATGAGCAATGCTTGCTGCTTCTCCCTACCTGAGATCTGAGTGAGGCAAGACAGAGCCCAGTACTTCTGGCAGCCCCCCAACCAGGCTAGAACTTTACAAATAAAGGCTGCTCTGTTCTTTTCCTGATGGAGAGACGTAATCGGGAACTCCACTGCCTCCTCTCCAGACAAGACATGCTCTGGGGAAAGGGATGCCACAAAACTTCCCACAATTTCAAGTGCGGTTTTTACTTTGAGTGTTTGGTTGCTGTAGATCTTTTTATTGTTTCCCAGAGCTTTTCTAAGCTTATTTTGGCTAGTTTCTAGAAGGCTTTTTGTTGTTGTTATTTTGTTTTATTTTGTTCTGTTTTGTTGATGCTTCCAAAGAGGATTGAGGGCTTGGAGTTTTTACTCTGTCATTTTGCTGCCCTCCTTCTACTTTGCCTGGAAATCACAGACCACTCAATATGGTGATCATAGAAAAGGAAATTATTTTTTAAAAAAGAAGCAAAATTGTCATTAATGTGTTATATATATATATATTTAAAGATTTTATTTATTTATTTGAGAGAGAGACAGAGATAGCAACAGAGAGAGCCAGAGAACATGAGGGGGGAAGAGGGGCAGAGGGAGAAGCTGGCTCCCCGCAGAGCCAGGACCCTGGGGCAAAGGCAGATGCTTAAACGACTGCCACCCAGGCACCCCTCATGTGTCATATAAAAAGTCCAAAACAACAAATTCATTATTGTAATTTATAAGAGACTTTAGGCAGTCAGCTGTATACGAAACCAGTACTTTACAAATAAAATTTTTAAAAAGATACCATTTACAATAGCTTTAAAATATGAAATATCTAAAATTAAACTAAAAAATATGCAATAATGCTATGGAGAAAATATGTGAAGAGTTATTAGACCGAAATAAACAGATACACTTTTAGCTAGGGCACCATGGAGTTACTCAGATCAGACGGTTGAAAGCTATCTGCAGAGGGAAAATGGGGGAGGGACAAAAGCAGGGAAAGAATGTGTCTGTTTTGCAGAACAAACAGCTCCCACCAAGGAGACATACGGCCAGGTGTTCCAACGGATACACCCTTGCATGAGCCAGTTTGGAGCTGAGGACCTGTGCAGAAACCCTGAGTTGCCCTTAAGTTTCCTTTAGCTCATTATAATACTGAGATCTCCTATGGGCAGAGTTTTGGGCCATTTTTTTTAAACATGCAATGTATGCACTAGCATGTTGACAAGCTACTGACAAGCTAGGTATTTGCAGCTGAACCAAAGTGCCTAACAAAATATGTGTAAGTTCCCTAATGTAGCCAGCTCCCTGCCCCCAACACCCTGAATAAAAGCTTCCTGCACTAACCCCATGGGGAGACACTGCTTTGACAGTGTAATTACTTGCTGCAAGTAATAAAAACTTTTTGCTCCGACCGAGAGACTTGGGCTGGTTAATTGCCTGACGCACCGCCAAGGGGCAGACCCTTTGTGTGCGGTGACAATACCATGGTAATGGATTATGAGAATCAGTATTGTGAAGCTATCAATTTTCCCAAGGTAATTTGTAGATTCAATGAATCCAATCAAAGTCTCAGCATTTTTATTCACAAGTTGGCATAATGATGATTCTTCTTGCGACTTAATAGCCAAAATACTTGAACAAAAATTCACGGATACCTACTCTATCTTAGCAAGACTTCGTTTCCTGCTATATGAACACGGGGGTGGGGTATCCGTGACCCCATTCCTTGCTACAAACTGCCTCCTTATCTACCCTAAATACTTCTGAACCTGCTTTCACTTTTCCCCATAACTTACCTTCTAAATTCTCTATGATTATATTTTTGACTTATTGTCTGCTCTTTACCACCCCCGATCGAAAAAAAAAAAAGTAACGGAGAGCAGCCAACTTTGTTTTGTTCACTGACATCCTTCCAACCCCTGCAATGGCGCTTGGAACGCAGCAGGTGCTCGATACACTTTGATTGAATCACTGAAGGGGAAGTAGGTTTGCTCTCGGCGCTTGTCTACTTGCCTTACCATCATCTATGCAGACGCACAGCTACAAGACACACCACCCTCAGCAAACCCCATTTCCTTCTTGAGGAACCTGGAGCCACGCGCCGGCTAGCCCAAGCGGTGGGACAGCGAGCCCGGCCAGCGGGAGCTGGGCACTTCACAGGCGCGCCCGGCCCCGCCTCTCCGTCTAGCCGCGGGGAACTACACTTCCCAGAATGCTTGGTGCTCGCGTGGACTACATTCCCCAGAGGCATTGCGGCCGTCCCCCCCGCCTCCCGTCCCGCCTCTCCGGACCTGCGCGGGACGCCGGTCGTTTGCTGCCGGAGCGGGAGGCTCAAGGACTTGAAGTCGGCCAAGGCATCGCCCGGGGAGGGGTCCCGACCCCAGGCTGCTGTCCGCCGGGGCAGCGCCGGAGCCTCCGCCTGCGGAGCACGGCCGGGGAGGCGCAGCCCCCGGGACCCCGGGGCCTGGGCGAGGTGAGCGGCGGAGGGTCGGCGGAACGCGGGACGGAGGGAGGACCGGGGCCTCGGGAGGATGCGGCGCCGGGGCGCGGGGCACAGGCCCGAGGGGCGCGGGCGGGGCCTCTGTGGGCGCGGGCGGGGGGCCGAGGCCCGGCACCCCCGACGTGCCCGCCTGCCCCGCACCGCCGTCCCGCGGACGCGCCCCTGGCCGCGGCAGGTCGGGCACTGGTCCCCGCCGGCCCAGGCCCCGGGCGCCCTCCTGCTCCCTCCGGACCCGCGCCCAGCGCGCTAGCTGCCGGGCCCTGCGCGCGTGCGGCTTTGCTACCGGCTGTCGGTGGACGCGAGGCGCTTTTCCGCCGCTCCCGGGCTGCGGGCGCACAGGTGTGTTTTCCGCCAGAAGCGAGTGGCCGGCCTCCCCCCGCCGCCACGGCAGAGCCTGGACTGGAGCCCAGGTCTTCGGCTTCTGTGCCTGCTCCTCTAGACGGCAGCCCTCTGGCCGCCACACGAAAGCTGCTGTCACCCCTTCCCGAAGCACTTTTCTCCAGAAGCCTGGAAGGAGACCCCTTGACAGGAGGGGGAGGACTCGGGGGCGGGGGGGGGCGGGGGGGCGGCAGCTTGGGGTGGACAGGAGTCGTCCCCTGCGGGCCGTGAGGTTAGAGCCGCGCTCTGGGCGCGCGGAGCGGACCCCGGCGCAGCCTGGCCGCTGTGCGCCCCGGGCCGAGCGGCTCCGGCTCTGCGCTCAGTTTCCGACCTGTAACCTGTAACCGGGCGTGGACAACGGCAGCGGGGCGGCGGGACTGAACGTGTGGGCGGTGCCCGGCCCGGGGGAGGGTCGGCGAGTTATTGCGGCCCCCACTGCAGCCGGAGTCCTACGTCCTTCTTCTCTGAGCCGCACGGCCGAGGGGGGGGTCCCGGACCCCTGGGGCGGGCCCTCGTCTCTGGGCCTGTGTAGCCCCAGCTCCTTCTGACTTCCCTCTCCGAGGGCTCGTGGCCTCATTCTCGGGCGGAGTAAGGATGTCAGAGCTGGTGATTCTCAGGGGTGGAAAGCACGAGGGGCTTCTCCCTCCTGGCTCCCTATTTCCTCTTTCAGATCTGCCTTCTGGAGACCCCACCGTCCTCGCAGAAGAGCCCAGAAAGAAGACATGGCTCTTGGACCGAGGGAAGCAAGGTCTCGAGTGAGTTCATTGCCATCTCGGGTCTTACAGATAGAGATAGATCGATCGATTGATTGATGGGCTGGTTGATTTACTTACTCGCTTACTTACCCTACCCTTAAACTCAAGTTCTCTACTCAGTACAGTTTTCTCCAGGATCTGGAGCCCTAGCCCTTTTCTCCTTGAACAGTCGATCCACCCAGGTGGAGGGTGGATTCTGTAGGCAACGTTTGCCTCCTCCCTGCCAATCCATGTCTGGTGTTTCTCTCTTCTTTTTCTAACAGACGCCTCTTTTTATTCATGAATCTCAATTCAGTGTATGATTACTAACTTGACAGGTAAGGTGCCACATGGGGACGGAGCAAAGAAACACGCACACTTGGCAGTTCCTTTCTGGCCCTGCTTCCTTGGCTCGCCCTGGTCTCTCTCCCTACCCTTGGCTTTTCCTTAGGATACCTTCCCTAGACTTCTCCAAGCCACCATGGTTAGGTTTTTCTCCCTCTTTACTTTGTGGACCACGTGCCTTGTTTCTGTACTCTCTTGAGAACTGTTCTTGACCTGCCATTTTCATCCTTCTGTCGTTGGAAATGGTCCAGGTGAGCCAGTGCATGAACAAGGAGTAGCCCTGTTGGAGGGGACGCAGTTGGAGAGATCTCTGGACTGCAAGGGCAGAGAGAAGACTCCCCAGGAAGGAGCAGGGAGGGTTTTGTGGGATATCAGGAGTGGAGAGGCAGGGTCTCCAGTGGGTAAGAAGCGGGGCTTGAACCCATCTCCTCGGTTGTTTGCGGGCCTTGGACAAATAGCTCCGTCTCTCTAAGCCCGTTTCCTCATCTGGACAATGGGAATAACAAGCATGCTGACCTCGTGGAGTAGGTGGCAGGGTCAGGTGAGTTAGTGCACGGAAAGTGTTGAGATCAGGGCTGGGCACTAGCAGATGCCCAACATGGGGTGGTTGTGGGAGCCGGACGATGTTACTGTAGTAATAATACCACTCATGCCGACAGATGGGAACGGCTGTACCGTGCTGCTAGGACTTGGCCTTTCATTGCTCATCTTCATCTGACAGTAACAGTTAATGCTGCTGGGGGTCGGCCCGAGGGCTTGGCCTTTGTTCTCACTCTCAGGCCAGCGCCGCAGTGATCATCCCGGTGTTACACATGCACAAACTGAAGCTCAGAGACGTCCAGTAACCTGAATTCCAGCTCCAGTGTGTCTGGCTTCTGGGTCCAGGCTCGTCACTGCCCAGCCATTCCCCTGGTGCCTCTTTCAGAACCCAGGGCAGCCCCAGCCCCGTGTTCCCAGAGCTCTTCTCCGCTGTCATGTCTTTGGGCCCATGAATTGCGGTGGTGGTTGATCTTGGGGCTGGGGCCGGCCAGTGCATATCTGGGCTGCTTTTTTCTAAAGCTTTCCTCTTCCATTCCCACAGAGCCACGCTGCTCTCGTGCCCAGAATCTTCTCCATCCCTGCAGAGGAGCTAATGCATGCGGCATTCTCCCTAACCTCACCTGCTCCCCTATGTCCATACTGCATGGGCTTGCGTGTAAAGCTCAGTGACAGGCGTTTAAGACCAGAGAGAGAATATACTGAGTGCTGGGTTAACAGAAAACTTTAATCATTGTCCTGCCTCTGCCACTGATAAAGTATGTGACCCGGGGTCTTGGCTGCTCTGGACCTTCTCATCCTCATCTCTGAAGTGAGGATTGAGCTGGGAGATGGTGTATGGCCCTGTCCAGCTACACATTTTTCTTTCATTGATCCAGTTATTTTGTGTGTTAATCTTGTCTGCCAGCTGGATTGTAAATTCTTTGAGAGCAAAAATTATTTCTTATATTCCTCCCCAATATGTAAATAATTTACTGTTTTTCTTACCAGAAAGATATTGTAGGGGCACCTGGGTGGCTCAGTTGGTTAAGCGACTGCCTTCGGCTCAGGTCACGATCCTGGAGTCCCGGGATCGAGTCCCGCATCGGGCTCCCTGCTCGGCGGGGAGTCTGCTTCTCCCTCTGATCCTCCCCGCTCTCATGCTCTCTCTCTCTGTCTCATTCTCTCTCTAAACTAAATAAATAAAATCTTAAAAAAAAAAAAAGATATTGTATAATCATGGTATAAATTTTAGAGTATAAAATATGTACATATATATGCATAGATGTATATATGTATGTGTGTGTATTTGTGTGTAGAGTTGACCCTTGAGCAACACAGGTTTGAACTGGGTAGGTCCACTTCCACGTGGATTTTTTTCAATCAGTACAGTACAGTACTGTAAATGTATTTCTCTTACAGGTTTTTTTTTTTTTTTGGTTTATTTTTTTGAGAGAGAGTGCAAGTAGATGAGGGGGGACAGAGAGAGAGAGAGAATGAATCTCAAGGAGATTCTGTGCTGAGTGCAGAGCATGATGTGGGGCTTGATCTCATGACCCTGAGATCATGATCAGAGTGGAAATCAAGAGTCAGATGCTTAACCGACTGAGCCACCAAGGCGCCCCCTTATGATTTTCTTAATATTTTCTTTTCTCCAGCTTACTTTAGTGTAAGAATATAGTATATAATACATATAACGTGCAAAATATGTGTTAATCAACTGTTTACATTATTGGGAAGGCTTCCAGTCAACAGTAGGCTATTAGTAGTTATGTTTTTGGGGAGTCAAAAGTTATATGTGGATTTTCGTCTGTGTGTGAGGTCAGTGCCCCTAACCCCCTCCTTGTGCAAGAATCAGCTATATATTTTTTTTCATATATTCAAAAGAAAGTAGAATCACCCTTAACCCCACCGTCTGGAGATAATCACTGTCAATCATTTGTTGTGTATCCCTTAGCATATACATACATATGCACATGCATATATTTATACATATATATACATATATATGTAATTTTTTATCAGAATTGAGTACAAGCTACACACTGATATATAATCTGCTTTTTGTATTTAACATTATCTTGGGTGTCTTTTTAACAAACATTGACCTAACCATCAGTTGTGTTGGTTGCATAGTATTTTATATTGAATATGATAATAGCTAACATCTGAAGCTTTGATATGACCCAGACATGGTATTAATTACTGTATGGGTTATCTCATTTATTTAATAGCTCTATGTGGTAGGTTCTGAGAGGCGTTTTTGCAAAATGGTTAAGAATGGAGCCTGGTCATGTACCTGGATTGGAATCCCAGGTCTACCACTGACTAGCTATGGGACTTTAGGCAAATTTATCCTCTCTGTGGCTGTTTTCTCTCATGTAAAATGAGGACACTGATGAATCTTCTCTTAGAGTTGTCGTGATTTTTAAATAAAGATCATATTAAAGATTAATAGAAAGTTCTAAGGCTTGTATCTGGCCTGTGTAAAGCATTCAGTAGAAGAGAGAGATTTCAGTTTCCATTATTTCTGCCCTCCAGCTCCAGTGAGCACTCAGATAGTACCTTCTATTAGTGACCCTACCCTTCATCATCCGTGATGACTTAGCTTGTTTCTAATTTTTTGCTATTACTAAAACCATGATAAATGCTCTGTGTGCATTTTTGTGTACTGTTCATTATAATAGAAATATAATTGGTGAGTTAAAGAATAAACATCTTTTAAAGCTTTTGATATGTATTATCAAATCACCATCAGCAAGATTATTCTAATTAACACTCCAGTGGTCTTACTTTCTCCCCACATCTCCTTATAGTAGTTAACACAGGGCCTGGTGAATACTTCATGCTGCTCAGTATGTATCTGTCACTGGCCGATGGTTCATTAAACAAATGACCTGACATCTTCAGAAACCAGAATATCAGAAGCCTTTCACGGCAGCCCGTCTACTCCCCCCTGCTACCTTCACTCTGTGGGGTGGGAGGTCCTGGGTGAGCCGGGATGGCTTGTCATTACAGGTGTCGGTGACCTTCGAGGATGTGGCTGTGCTCTTCACGCGGGATGAGTGGAGGAAGCTGGGTCCTTCTCAGAGAAACGTGTACCAGGAAGTGATGCTGGAGAACTACAGTAACCTGGTCTCACTGGGTAAGGGAATTTTCCCTGTAGATGAAAAGGTCAGGGTGCCTGGGTGGCTCAGTCATTAAGCGTCTGCCTTCGGCTCAGGTCATGATTCCAGCGTCCTGGGATCGAGTCCCACATTGGGCTCCCTGCTCAGCAGGAAGCCTGCTGTGTTCCTGCTCTCGCTGTCTCTGTCTCTGTCGAATAAATAAATAAAATCTTTAAAAAAAGAAAAGAAAAGGTCAGACGTTAGCATAAGTCAGCACCTGCCTCCCTGCATAAAAGCCGTGGGTCATCAGGAACTTTTAGCTGAATTTTGCCTTAGGATTGTACACATTGTAAATAAATAAGTGTTTAAAACTTCTTTCCCCCTATAGGCATGGATTTGTCCCAGGCATGGGACACTTAACATACTTGCATGTTAGAAATTCCCTCATAGTTCAGGCAGCATTTTCCTGCTGATCTTGTTTGCTCAGCTCACAGCAGAGAGCATCCCTCAACCATCTTCATTAACCTGCCACCAGCCTTTCTCAGTTCCCCCTTCCTGCCTGATGAACGTTGTATAACCCACCTTTGAAAGGGAGTCAGAGTGCTTTCTCATTTTAAACAGGGCACTTGGTACACAGTCTCTCGGTATGGGTACCTGTTTACAAATATTTAGTCTTTACATTAACGTATTCCCTCTCCTGTAGAAAGCCATGGATACTCTAGTAATCAAAGCTGCATGTTTATCATATTTCTCTAACCTACAACAACTAATTACATAGCCACGCCCTACAGGTCCCTTGCTTTTCCCCTCACAAAGGCCCTCACATCGCGGGGGCACAGCTCGAGCACCCCACCGAAGCTCACTGTGCCGTCCCCTGAGTTTTCCGCTCAGATCCGTGATGCCTCTTTCGAGTCAAAGCAAAACCAAGTCTTTTCTTTTTGTTTCTGGCAGGACTCCTGTTTTCCAAACCAAAAGTGATCTCCCTGTTGCAGCAAGGAGAAGATCCCTGGAGGGTAGAGAAAGAAAGTCCTGGAGGCCCCTCTCTAGGTGAGTGGGTGGGACCGAGGGGCCGGGAATGGGCTCAGGCAGCAGTCTGGGTGGTAAGTGGACGGTGCGGCTTGGAGATGTGGTTTGGGAAAGATTCCTCTGGGTCTCTGTCCTCGAGAAGTGGCGGAGAGGGGACGCTCGGGCCCCAGACGCAAGCTTCCTCTTATTCTCTGGTAGTCACTTCCCAATGAATCTCTCAGGAGCTCTTCTTACTCGCTCCTGTTTTCAGAGGAGGGCTGCACATCGGGGATTCAGTCAGCAAACGGCGTACTTAAGGAATGGCAGGGAATCCTTCTGACCGAGGCTCAGGGTGTGTGAGAGAAGGAGCCGAGGAAGGAAACGGTGTCAGAAAGCTAGCCAGGCTGCGGTACAGCGGGCTTTGACAAGACCCGACATGGGACCGTCCATGGAAATAAGGAGTGTCAGCAGATGCTGGAGTTCTTGGTATTTCAGGAAAGTTGGCTTAACTGTGAAACAATGGAAAGGTCCTCCGATAAGGCGTGGCAGGAGAAGCTGGGCGAGTCCCCGCTCCGGCCCCGAGCGCCACCGTCAGAAAGGAGGGCAGCTGGTGTAGACGGAGCTGGGGTGGTGGGGGGAGGGGAGCATCGTGCTGATGTGTCCCCGTTGCTGCTGAAGGGAGCGGACATGGTTGTGCGGGTCTGGTGTGTGTGGAAGCGCAGATGGAAAGGCTGGGGACACACCTGAGCTGGTGCTGGGACCTCCACTGGGAATGGCATCGAGAAGGGGCGGGAGGAAAGAGGGCTTCAGTTACATGTAATCTTAGCATTTCATAGAGAATAGATTCGTGAAGTCCTTGTGCAGTTGGAGTTGAGCACGCATGGTCACTTTGGAAGTCCTGTGGGCATAGATTTAAAGTGAGGGAAAACCCGAGGTGGAACCGTCCCAGAGACACTTGCAATACGGTAGGTGAGACGTTTCGAGGGTCTGGACAAAGGCACGGGCAGTGGGGTCCAGGAGGGAAGAAGAGGGGCCCCTTTGTGAAGGGTGAAGGCCGAGTTCGCTGCGGGATGGGTCTCACTGGAGATGTGAGCGGAATGTTCGGGGAGAGGTGCTGGCGGGCAGTTGTATGAGGTCTGTGGGAACTCGGAAGGGAGCTCAGGGAGCTGTCGTTACAATGGCGGCATCTGACGTCTCGAGCTGACCAGGCGAGGACACAGAGCAGAGGACAGAATGCCAGGAAACCTCACCATTTACGAGGTGGGTTAGGAAGGAAGACTGGCTGAGCCTGAGAAGTCATCAGAGGAGAGAAACGGGAGAGGCGGCTGACAGGGAAGTTGGGGACGGAGAGCTGCTGAAAGGGGGACGATCCGGGTTCAGATCCACACCCCCTGCTTTCCTGGCCCGTGATGGACGGTGCGTGAGCTCCATGCTGAGAGAGGTGTTAAGGATGCCTCTTAGAGTTTTGATTCAGAACTAGTGCCGTTTCTAGAGACAAGGGGTTGGTTATACAGGTTGGAGGGAATGATCGTGAATTCAGTTTTAGGCATGTTGAATTTGAGTCATCGAGACATCTAAGTTGCTATTTTGAGTGGGCTCTTGTATCACTGGGTGCGGAGAGAAGTCTTGCCTCGCGTATGTGTATGGAATAGAAATGGGCCCACGGAAAGAGTGCAGAACAAAGAGAATTAGGGTCCAAGGACTAAACCCTGATGGACCCCCCAGGACTGAAGATTATGCAGGGGAACACAAGTGCACAGAGGAGATTGAGGCTGGTGGGAAGGGAGAGGAATGTGGAGTAAAGCGGGGGGTCACCAGAGCCTAGGGAGAGGGCCGCTCAAGGCAAACAAGGGGTGGGAGAGGGCCGCTCAAGGCAAACAAGGGGTCACTGTGAGCCGCTGCTGACAGGTTGGTTAGGGGGGAACTGCCCAGTGTTTTGTCTCAGCCCCCTGGAGGTCGTGGCTGCTTTAGCGAGGTGGCTGAGGACAGAAGCCAGGAGGGGGTACGATGGGGTGATGGGCGGGAGGAAGGGAACGGGTGTGAGATAGTGCACAGAGCGGATGTGGAGGAGGAGCTCTTGTATGCACATACGGTTGTATATATCCTCTCATTTTCCTTTGTCCACTCTGATTACACAGCGCACGTTATTTTGCCCGTCACCTGGTGTCTGTTGAAACTCTCCATGGCCCCCCGTAGAGGGCTTCCTCTCTCTGTGGGGGAGCTTGGAGTGACTTCGGTTGTATTTGGCTTTGGATCATGTTAGCCCAGCAGGCCTGGTTCGGGCTAGGATTTTATAAATGGTATGATTGCTGATTTGCGTGATGGATATTGATTTAAAGCTGTACCTTTATCACGTATCCGTGTAAAGTCCTGAGATGGATCGCAGTTTGAGTTAACAGAGGAATCTGGTTGAATAAACTGTGGCACATTCACGCAGACTTCTTTGAGGAAGACCTCTGTAAATTCCGCTACGGGGTTATCTCCACAACATATTCATAGGTGGAAACACGTACTTTTAGCTCAGGAAGGAGGAAATACCAAAACGACAAAAGAGGTGGGGAGTGGGAGGGATGGGGTGGCTGGGTGATAGACACTGGGGAGGGTATGTGCTATGGTGAGCGCTGTGAATTGTGCAAGACTGTTGAATCTCAGATCTGTACCTCTGAAACAAATAATGCAATATATGTTAAGAAAAAAAAAGAAGATAGTAGGAGGGGAAGAATGAAGGGTGGGAAACGGAGGGGGAGACGAACCATGAGAGACTATGGACTCTGAGAAACAAACTGAGGGTTCTAGAGGGGAGGGGGGTGGGAGGATGAGTTAGCCTGGTGATGGGTATTGAGGAGGGCACGTTCTGCACGGAGCAGTGGGTGTTACGCGCAAACGATGAATCATGGAACACTTCATCAAAAACTAATGATGTAATGTATGGTGATTAACATAACAATAAATAAGACAAAAGAAAGTGTCTATTAGGTTTTAAAAAAGGAGAGAAAAGCCTCTTCTGCCTCATCACCAAAAAAAAAAAAAGTAAAAGTAGATCAATAAAAATGGTTACTGATGAAGGCAGAAAAGAAAAAGAAAAAAAAAAGGACGAAGAGAACAGCGATAGGATCTAGAATTGTTTAAAGGTGCCTTTTCATAATTTTGACTTCGGAACTATAAAACTGTTTTTTATAAAAGTATAAAACCAGAAATCAAATGAAAATGTCCATAAATATCGCAAGCAAAATGAAACAAAGGACCCTAATTGCCTTTCAGGTTGGTGGCTGAGTCACATACAAAGGCATTTGAAATAATTCTTATCACAGCAGTTTGAATAAACTTCCTGAGCGATTTCTATCTGTGACATTTTGATTCATAATAATGTATAATTGGTCTTCATCTATTTCTGGCACAGAGCTCCTAAAACCCTTGGAATTTCCTAAGTGACGAGAGCCATAAAGGTGACTTGTTATGTCAGTGAGTGGCTTTTGGACCCCACCCAAGGATGGGTGCTGGTTGCTAGGGAATCAACCCTGTGGTTAGTGTTGGAATTTTCAGTCCCAGCCCCTGACCTGCTCCTTGAATCAGTTGCAGGGGGCAGTGATTTAGTCCATCATGCCTGTGTAGTTAAGGCCCCATAAAAACCCAAAAGGACAGGGTTCAGAGAGCTTCCTGGTTGGCTAACACGTGAAGGTCTGGGAAGAGTGGTACATCCAGACAGGGTATGGAAGCTCCTCGCCTTTTCCCCTGAACATTGCCTGATGCTCTCTTCCAGCTGGCTGGTCCTGAGTTACATCCTTTTATAATAAACGAGTGATCTAGGAAGAAAAAAATTTGAGTTCTGTGAGCCAATCTAGCTAATTAATCAAAACCAAGCAGGGGGTTGTGGGAACCTCTGATTTATAACCCACTGATTGAAAGCACAGATGATAATTTGGGCTTGCAACTGGTGTGTGAAGGGGACAGGGGACAGTCTTGGAGGACTGAGCCCTTAACTGGTGGGGTCTGATGCTATCTCCAGGTAGCTAGTTGAGTTGAATTATAGGACACCCAGTTGGTGTCCAAGAATTGCTTGTTGTTAGTGTGGGAACCGCCTCTCTCCCCCTACATGGGAATTGGTACACAGCTTTTAATTACCTTATAGGCAAAAGGAACTTCAAAACAATAGGCAGGCCAGATCTGAGGACCCAGAGGTGGTCCCCCAGGACCAGCCAAGAGGGTCCTTGGCATCGCACAGGGTAGAAATAAAACTCTCGCAAAGTTTATTGAAGATACAAAGAGAGGGCAGATACAGACAGTGTCTGGGAGACTCAGGAAAGAAGAGTGAGTCCCATCTTTGCTTAGGGTCTGAGGTTTTTATTGAGGACGGTGGTCTGGTGTACGTGTCCTCTCAGGCATCCAGGAACTGGCCGGAATAAGGACGAGTGCTCAGGTGTCCTCTGTAAGTCACTTACTTCCTGGAGGCAGGCGTCTTGGGTCAAGGTGTCTATATGGTCAGTGGTCTTAGAAAACGTACATGATGTACCTGAGGACCTTACCTTGCCCTGTCATTCCTTAGATGTTACCTATTGTGCTGGAAGACTCCAGAGAAATCATTAACCCCTTGACCTTTACAAGGAGGACATACACTAATGCATGCGTAAGATGGGGGCGTGGGTCGTAGCAAGAACAGAGGCAGCCAAAAAAGCAGTCCATCATGGGCTCTCTTCAGTTTCCCTGTCTCAGTAAGATTATGTGGCTGTGTTTCCGGGGAGAGTTCTTAGCTCTGAGAAGTGTGTTCTGACCTTTCATGGGAGAAATGATAGAATATTTGGGATTTACCGTCTGTACTCTGTCGGAAGAGATGGAGGGGTGTGTAGGAGTAGGTTCCACCTGCTCTATCAAGTACCACAGACCATGTGGCTTGAAACAACAGAAACTTACTGTCTCACAGTTCTGGAGGCTAGAAGTTCAAAACCAGGGCATTGACAGGGCCCTGCCCCCCCGAGACTGGTACGTTCCTCCCTTGGCTCTTCCTAGCTTCGGGCGTGGCCGCCATCTTTGTTGGCTTGTGGCTG